TTTAATCAAAGGAAAGGTGTTCCTACCTGGCGGTTTCAGTCGTGAAGATGTCCGACCCGACCCCGAAACAGGTCTCACCGAAACAGTCGCTTATTGCGCTCAACAACCTTGGCTCGTAAATGCTAATATCAAGGAAAACATCTTGTTTGCTGCTCCACTGGACGAACAAAGATACAAGGATGTGATTATTGCTTGCGCTCTGGAACGTGATTTAGACATTCTGGATGATGGCGATGAAACACTTGTGGGCGAAAAGGGCATCAGTCTTTCCGGTGGCCAAAAGCAACGTATCTCTCTCGCAAGAGCTCTCTACTCTAACTCCAAACATGTACTCCTCGATGATTGTTTGAGTGCTGTGGATTCACATACTGCCAAGTGGATATTCGATAATTGTATTCGAGGACCATTGATGCTTGATCGCACATGCATCTTAGTCACGCATAACTTATCTCTCTGTGTTCCTCACTCTCGATATGTTGTTTGTCTCGAAAATGGTAGGATCACCGAACAAGGATCCGCAGATAAGGTGATAGCTTCAGGGAAATTAGGAGAGGAAGTTACTAAATCACGTCCTGCTTCTGCTCTTCACTCACGAATCCCATCTCGAGTCCCTTCTAGCATCGGTGAGGAGAGCAACGAAACTCTCATTGAAGACCAATCTACAAATGGTAAGCCGGATGATGCAAACGCAAAACCAAAGGCAAAGAGATCCAAGGAAAAGAAAAACGCCATGGCCGAAACAAAGGCAGAGGGTGGTGTTAAATGGAGAGTCCTCGTATTGTACTTGAGAGCCATGGGCCCTTGGTGGTTCTGGGTCCTCGCTGTCATGGTCTTTGGAGTTCAACAAGTTGGCGCTCTTGGGGCCAATATATGGATTAAGCAATGGGCAAATCAGTAAGTTATAAAACGCTCACTTGTCAACTATCGACTGATGCTAATGAACCTATAGATATGATGTTGAAGCTGTCCGAACCAAATATCACCTATCCGCAAACAATTACATTGGCAATACCATCTCTACCATTCAAGTCGCGAGCTCAAAGTTATCTCAAGTTCAACCATACTTCGACCCTACCAAGACTTCAATTGTGGCCAAGTTCGCTCCAGATGTTGATGTTGGATTTTATCTTGGAGTTTATGCTTTGATTGGTATCGCATGCATGTTGATTGCCCTCTTCAGAGATTTCTGGCTCTTCTTTGGTTCTCTTACTGCAAGTTGGAAAATCCATGAGAATTTGATGAAATCTGTCACCCGAGCAAAATTTAAGTTCTTTGACTCGACTCCATTAGGTCAACTTATGAATCGATTTAGTAAGGACTTGGAAGCTGTCGATCAAGAAGTTGCACCTATCGCCATTGGAGTTATGGCATGTGCCTTGGCTATTATTGTGACGGTCGCTTTGATCACTGCTATCACACCCGGATTCTTGATTGCAGGTATATTCATCAGTGCCATGTACGTCTTTGTTGGAAAATTCTATCTTCGATCGTCAAGAGATTTGAAGAGGATCGAATCAATTCAAAGAAGTCCATTGTTCCAGCAATTTGGAGAGACACTCAATGGAGTCACCACTATCCGAGCTTATGGTGATGAGAAAAGATTTGTTCGAGACAACATGTTACGAATCAATACTCACAGTCGACCATTTATCTATCTTTGGGCAGCAAATCGATGGTTATCATTCAGGATTGACTTGGTTGGTGATCTTGTCGCATTCTTCGCAGGTGCATTCATTGTCAGTAGTATCGGTACTATTGATGCTGGTTCGGCTGGTCTTTCCCTAAGTTATGCCATCAGTTTTACGGAGAATGTTCTTTGGATGGTACGACTTTATTCTATGAACGAACAAAACATGAACTCTGTAGAGCGAATCAAGGAGTATTTGGATGTCGAGCAAGAAGCAGCAGAGTATATTGAAGAAACAGAGCCTGCTAAAAACTGGCCAAGTCAAGGATCTGTGGAATTCATTAATTACACCACAAGATATAGGGAAGATTTGGATCCTGTATTACGAAATGTCAGTTTCAAAATCCGACCTTTGGAAAAGGTTGGTATCGTTGGTCGTACAGGTGCAGGAAAGAGTTCTCTTGCTCTGGCTTTATTCCGTGGTCTTGAGGCCGAGGAGGGAAAGATTTTGATTGATGAAGTTGATGTTGGTCTTATTGGTCTTCGTGATCTTCGCGAGAGAATAACCATCGTACCACAAGATCCAACGCTATTTACAGGTACCATTCGAAGTAATTTAGATCCTTTCAACCTCTTTACAGATGAAGATATCTTTACAGCTTTACGAAGAGTTCACTTGATTGGACCTGTAGGAACATCGACCGCTCCTTCCACACCAGGTGTCTCACGACCACCATCTATTGATTCATTATCAGGCTCTACAACCACCAACAACAAAAATATCTTTTTGAACCTCAATTCTACCGTCACAGAATCCGGAAACAATCTCTCACAAGGTCAACGACAACTTCTTTGTTTAGCTCGCGCTTTACTTAAACAACCTAAGGTTCTCATGATGGATGAAGCTACTGCTTCTATCGACTACACCACCGATGCCAAGATTCAAGAAACGATAAGAGAACTCAAGAGTACGATTATCACGATTGCGCATCGTTTACAAACGATTGTGGATTATGATAAGGTGTTGGTGCTGGATAAGGGAGAGGTGGTGGAATATGCTCATCCGCATGAGTTGTTGAAGAAGGAAGGGAAAGATGCTATTTTTAGAGGAATGTGTGAGACGAGTGGGGATTTGGAAGGGTTGAAGGTGGCGGCGAAAAAGGCTTGGGAGGCGAAGAGATTGGTGGATGATGAGTAGAGAAAGAGGGAAGTGAGGAGTGTGGAGGGAAGGATGTAGTATAGTGCATTTTGGAGAAAGGAGAAGAACTATACATAATTTTTTTTTCTTTTGTGGTAAATAAATAAATGCATTGGGTCTTTGAATATCTGTAGATGGGTTGTTGGGCTTGGTTGGTTATTTGCATTTGGGATCGGTGGTGGTGGGTGGTAAAAAATTACTTATTTGGGCTGCTGTGAGTAGATTAGGTTGTGGTTGTGGTTGGGGAGGTTGAGGTGGGAGGGTTAGTGAGGTACATACATATTTTGTAATAAAAAAAAGAGAGAGAAGGTGGTGAATACATGAGTATTAAAATTGAAACTATTTCAATCCTTGATATCATCGAGTGATTGGTTGGATGTTGTACTCTGTTCTTGGTCTTGGTCTGTGGAGATCGATGGATGAGGAAAGAGGTAGAGGTAGTATTTGGATTATTGAAGTATTGTATGTAGGTATAAATTTATGTATATTCTCTGCGTAGGTAGGTATATCAATGTCAATGTTAATGAGAATGAGAATGAGAATGTAGATAGGAAGATGTCATAATGTGTGAGATAGGAAGAGTTCTCTATCCTTATTCACGTTCTTAACCTTGTCTGCGGATCTGAGGGGGGAGGGGGGAAGACAGAGGGATTAAGGGAGGAGGGCGGGGGTGGCAGGAGGACTAAGATAGGAGGGAGGTGAGAGGAAAGGAAAGGAAGAGGGAGGAAAGGAAAGGAAAAGGGACTCAAAGAGAAGGTAGAGACTACGAGAGGGATTATCTATAGATATGTGGAGGTGAGCAGATAGTAGAGTAGATAGGTGAGTGAACAAACAAAACCAAGTCCGTGAGTGAACAAAATTAAATAATTAAACAAGAAAGTAAGTGAAATCAACTTTATATATATATAAATCATCCCCCTGTATCTGAAATCTGACACAATGAGTTTACCGGTATCTGGTGAGATGAATCTTGGGAGGTGAAATGAGATGAGATGAAATGATACGGCGAAGCTTATGAGGTATTTATATATTTCAGTTCGGTTCTGAGACATGAGAGGAGGAGGGTTAGATTTTTGGGGGAAAAGGGGGACGGATATTAGAAGTGCGGGGAAGGTGAGGAGGGAAGGGGGGGTGGCTATTGGAAAATGGTAATCGTTGCTACAAAAAGGAAGAGGAAGAGGAAGGAAGAGGTAGATCTAATTGTATTCTTCGTGGAAACTTTCCTTTCTTTCTTTCCTTGGAGTATTTGTATTTATATTCTTATTTCGATTTCTAATGAGTTGGGTAGGTAGGTAGGAAGATAAGATATCTAGTCCTAGAAAATGTTCTCTACAATATTCGATATGAAGTTTTGAAATGTAGATTCGCTTTTCTCTCTCTCTCTTTCTTCTGGTAAGAACAAAAGAAAAAGTCTATTTTACGAAATTTCGGAATGGGATTCTTTTTTTCTTTCCTCTGATTGATGGTTTTCATGAATATTGATTTTGATATAAATGGTATTCACTCACCCTCTCCCCTCTGGGATTAAAACCCCGCCTATCTCACTTCTTCTGAATCCTGATACCTGCTCGCTCAATCATATTTCGTGCAATCAAGGACCACAATGCGTAGCACCGGTTGTGGCTGCGTAGTCATTAGCAGGGTGACGATTAAGCTGTAGAGACCTTATTTTGGGGGAGGTAGCGTTATTTTCTTGCTTTTTTAGGTCATCTTTGTGCGCTTCCCTTTTCTTTTTCGCTTCCCTTCCCTTCATCCCCCTTCTTACCCAGAAGCCCTCTAAGAGCAGGAAAAATGAAGAAGAACAAGGAGAAGAAAATAATTCCCCCCAAAATAAGAATAAAAATTCACCCAACACCAACGCCATCCCCGCCAACATATTCGGCTGCATTTTCGCACTCCTCACTCCTCACCCTCGCATCGTCAATCTCCAATGCTAAAGCTAGAAACGAGACAGCTGAATCCGACCGAGACCCGCTGCTAGATGCAAAATTTGTGTGCAGAGCGGAGGGGGCGACGAGCGCGGAGGTGATGAGGATGCTGGTTATCAGGCTGAGGATGGAGAGGATGGAGGAGAGGAATATGGGGAGAGATTTGTGGTGGGGTTAGGGAGGGAGGAGTGGAGGGGGAAGTGAGGGAGTGGGAGTGGGGAAGAAAAATGGGGGTGTACCACGAATCATGTTCTGCATTTGCATGACACTAACTGCGGAGATTTCAATGCTACTTTTGGCCATGTCGTACGCGGCGCCGATGTTGGAGAAGACTATTGCACAACAGCAGCCCATTGCTCCGAAAAATGAATGTGGAAGATTAGGGCTTGGTTGTCAGGAATTAGGTGGGAATGCGAGAGGGGAGAGAAGGAAGGTGGTGACTGACGGCGTAGACGGGGCTTTAGGAGGGGGTGGAATATAAGCATGATGTTTTGATGGGGATTCAAGGAGAACTCATACCATCTATCATGATATATGGGTCCATTGTGATGGTCTGATGACGAATTGAAAATTAGTGAGTGTGATAGGTAACAGATGTTTAGTTGATATGTCAGGCGCGGTGCAATATGCAGTAGGACTAATAAGATGGCACAAATATGTCCCGAGAGCAGAATTAAGTTGGCAAAATGTTGATTCTAGAACAAGGAAAAATTCCATTTGAAAACTACATTTTCGAGCTTCAACAGGAATCATATCATATGATGTAAAACTACATGTTCATCCGTCTTACATCGCTGGAGGGAAGCCCTACGAATACATGCATTCAGGCAGGAGTTGCATTAGATCAATATCCATTTTGATTCCATGAGCATGCAGAGAATAATTGAATTCCAAGTATTAGAATTTCATTGTCAACGTGCATGCATTTTTACATCAACAAGATAAGTTTTTTTTCAGTAAAAGATATCACATAAACTTGAGGGCTGTGATTGATTGATTTCTACGCACTGACTGCCTGATTTTAAAACCTTCAACTTGGCAGGTGTTTGAATTGATCTGATAAATGATTGCGACGGTTAGTATGATAGTGTTTAAAGTCAGCTAGATAGATACCACTGTCATGTAGATGACGGATGTTCCGAGTATATACGTACTGCTGCCTTCGGTCACTCAGTCGATGATGACGTAGTCTGCGCTACACAATCAATGCAGATCAATCAAACTTACTGCTGACGAAAATTGTGATGAATGGGCATGTTTATTACGACATCAGGAATTGCCGTAATTTTGCTTACTTTTCATTCTTGACGAATGTCACTGTCAGGCGAACCGTGTGTGCTAAATCAGGTGAGCATGTTAGCTGGAAATTCAACATTTGGCAGATTCTATAGTTGCCTTGAATGTGGTCAAAAACGGTATATCATGCTCCTTGGCAATGGGAGTGACTAAGACGAGAATAAGTCTGCGTGCTTTCATCTTGATTGAGATAAATATGCTGGAACCTGAACATATCGTTTCCAAAAGGGCGCAATGCTATCGTTGATACTTGCCGCACCTCCTCCCGACTTCGTCATCTTTCAGCATCTCAGTCTGATTTGCATGATGCGCAAGAACTTAGAAGGAAAGTCAACAACGCGTACGAACCGATGCTCCACTTCTACACAGATATTCAACACATCAAACACGAAAGGAAACGCGTACACGTCACTAAAACGAATAGATATCTCTCACGCTTGTAAGAAGTATTTACTGTGCCGCAAACCAACATTGAGTTGGACATTTTGGTTCGATATACGCAATCGCAAGAATCCATTGAACAGTTTAGAGTTCCGTATGAGGACCCTTTAGTGGACGTAAATCGAGGGATAGGATTAATCTGCTACAACACCGCCGCAATAGATGCAACATGTCTACACGACGCTGTTGAAGGTGCTGATGTAAAGAACTTAGGTAGGCGCAGTGACGAGTTCATATGTCAAGCCCCCATTCCCACCTAGGTATACTTAGTCAATATCATAAACACCAAGCTTTTCAATCTCCATCTGATTGACAATCCGTGCCTCGAATCCGAGATCAGTCATACCAAGAATCCAAGACGTGATAAATTCTCTGATGTTTAGGTAGGAAGATTTGAAACGAATTGTAAGATTTGAAAAAAGAGGTCACAGCTAGAGGCTAGCGCTCAGACTTGGGCGGCGTTCTCGTTCAAAACGTTTGAAGTATGGGGAAGGAATATGTGATGATTGGAGTTAGTCAATGCTCTGCATATGTAGGTAATAGCTCAGATGAGTATGTATGTATGGTGTTGCAAATTCGCAATGACATCTTTTTGCAGTTCAAATGTATGGGAATCAATCTCGAGGGAATCGTCTTGGAAACTTGTCAAGCTTAGTAAGGATTCTTGGCGAGACAAGAAGTAGCACGTGCCTAGTACCAGAGAGATGTAATGTAGCAAAGTCGGTGATAGTCAGTCAAAGTCTGATGTTCTATAAACCATTCCTACCTAGGCACCTAGATAGTCATACGGAATTCCTTATTTTGGGATGTGGCTGAGAATGAGGGATACGTAGATACCTCCCGGTAGCCTCCTAGCATCTTAATAAACTCGCATATCAAAAACATACTTTGTCGGTATGGAGTGAAGGGAGGAATATCCCTATGGTGGACGGAACGACCCTTATGGAGTTTAGTACGAACCCAATCGAACCAACGGAGGAGTGCTCTTGTACGATGCAGGAAGTTCAGCAACTACCTAATCTCTTTAACCGTACACCTAGCAATGGAATTAACAAGGCCTCAAGTCAACAAGCCAACTTGTAAGATTACATTAACTTATACCAACTCTAGACATTTAGTAACTTTATAATATTTTTCAAATAGGAGATTATTTTTCTGTTTTTAGAATTTTGAAATTCATATTGAATTGAAAGTTGTATTCGATGATATATAAAATCACTAGATTTCTAAAGTTAATATAATAGTACACTAATTGAATACCGACTACAGAGTAGTAGCCTCAACAAATACCTTTTCTAGGTGTACGATTAGTGCCTGTGTAAGTAACCCTATGAGATCCATCTTTATTGATACTATCAGACTGTCTGAATGCTCTCCATGTAAAAGTTAAAATGTCCGATATCACCGTCGCCACTGTTTGCTTACGAATATAGTGGTGATAATGACGAGTATCTATCTACCACGAATTATGCTCCCCATCACTTTCCTTGGGTCTATTCCATTGGCCTACTGGGTACATTTGCAGGCAGAATGGTCACATTTGTGCTTAATTAGCCTTTTCGGTTTTCCATTAGGGAAGTTTGCGTGTTGGTTCATCCATTGAGTTCACGGCACAGGCACTTTGCAGAGTACTTATACCCTCGAAGAAAATGAAAGAGAGACTACGTGCACATACATATATTGTACATATTTTCTAATTCTTCATCCCTCCCCCTTTTCACATTCTTTATTACTTAGGTAACCTTTTGAGGCTTCATCCGATAAACGGGTGTTTTTTACTTTTCACATGAACAAGCTACCTAGGTAGATGCAAGATCACAAAACGGCTCTGGCGTAAGAGAAACTATTCGCGTCTCTTCTCGGTCATGTTCAAACAATTTCTGTTCATGCTTTGTATCATGGATTTATGATCCTCACTTTCTTACTTGGAATTCGGCAAAGGAATGTGTGATGAACCCTGCTGGTGTTTCAAGCAAATGCGCTTTTGTCTTTAGTTCGCAAAATATCCCATCCTCAATGCTTCATGCTATGTTTTCGGGTCTGAGGGTCGAAGACTCGAACGAAAAGAAAGGCATGAGGAGCCATACAAATTCATTTATCGCAATAATCTGAAAATAGCATGTTTCCTCTTTTTTCCCCTTCCTTTCCTACGAGATCCCTGGAAAATATGTTGGAACTTGTGCAAGTAACGAATAATGGATTAGTATGGTACCCTTCCGCGAGTACAGTATCTAATATGTACACCTAGATTCGTCAATGTCAAAATGTCAAGCAAGTATGGTAGATCAGGACAGTGTGAGTAAGAATCTTAATTCGTTGAAATATTGGATTGTCTGTACCTCGCCTCTTCCTCTGGAAGGGACCTGAAAGCTATTTAGGAAGAAAGTCTGGGGCGCAGGATTTCAAGTGAAGAGGATTTTGCTTGACATGATTAGTTATTGAATGATATTTCATGAATTCTTACCTCTTTTTTATAGATCAGATGTTTCAGTGTTTAACTGTTCAAAATGCCTTCTCCTTTATATCTTTATCATGTCCTTATTATCAAGTTAATATCAACTAACACATTCATACTTATTAGAGCCACCTACTAGTATCCTTTTTATATTTTATTTCCAATCGAACAACTCTTGACTTCAGATTTCTAGTCTTCCATACAAAGTCTCCGTACCCACCTGAGCTTCGTAGTTGTACATGGTAGGCCGTGTCGTATTGCGGATCCTTGACCTTGAATCATCCCAGATAACAACCCTAGCATTTATACTAGCATCTATACTAATTAGCATCTATACACTCGGTGCTTTGTACTTACTGTATGTCAACCAACAAACTTGCCAAGATATAGAAAAGAGGATCGAACCTTGGGATTGGAATCACTCTCTGCATTGGATTTGGCCTTTTTGTATGAGAAATATCACTTCAAAGGCTCAAAGCTCTTTGGATGGTCTTTTAGCATTTTCCTATACAGTACCTTTTTTGGGAGAATTCCACTTGTACATCTCTTCTCAATCGTTTCAATCATCGTCCTTGATATTAGTAAACCAATTCGACTACTATCATTTTATATTGGATTACTTTCTATTCTTCCTGCCAACATCATCTCCATATTTATATCTTTCCTCTTACTTTAGAATCTCTCAGCCTTTCTCGGCATTTTAGGTTCCAGCCGCTGCGGTTCCTAAAAAGTCACCACGCCACCATTTGATACAGGACAAGAACAGATTTCACGGCTTGCCAGCCTTACAGTAGAAAAACGAGTGAAGATCTTAGAAATACTAAGAAAGATACTCCACAAATTTGTATAGATTACGATTCTCTTGCCTGCACCTCGTACTCTCAGCCACAATTAAGAGTTTCGTCATCTGTCGCAGGCTCTCTTTGCTGTACAAGAGCTTTACTCTTACTAGTACTACTCAGTCCGAGATTTGAGAACTTATACAAAACATCGCATCACATCACATTCGTTCCGAATTTTGGTTTCTAAAAGTACAACTTCTCATATCAACCTCACTACCAACAACCCATTTATTAAATAGTTTGAATTTATTGGTCATTATTTTTTACATTGGATTTTCTTGGCTCTATTTTCGGATTTTCTAAAAAAACAAATTTTTGGGTCTTCGGGGTCTTCGAAGCTGAATTAATTAGCGTCTACTGTCCGCGTCATCTGGACCAACCCGAACAATATATACCAATTTCATATCCCATATAGGATTTCAGAGAAGGGTGTTTTATTTTTATTTTTATCACTATATTTTATCTCCAATCATGAGGACGACAACATTCATTACCGCTGCCGTGGGAATATTGTCAACATGTACAGAAGCAATACAATTACAGAAGCGAACCGATGGACCAGCACGAGTAGTTGGACTGGATGTGGTACGAAAACAAGTGGAAAATCCTTTAGCAAGAGATAAATTAAGGAAATTAAGGAGGAGGTCGAATACTGTTACCGCTACTTTAGATAATGAGGTTCGTAAATCTCATCTGGACTTTGAGCGAAGCTATATACTAACATCGTTCAGGAAACTTTATATTTCGCCAATGGAACATTAGGTACACCAGCACAGAGTTTACGGTTACACATCGACACAGGGAGCAGTGATTTATGGGTTAATACTGCTAGCTCAACTTTATGTAGTAAAAAGACAAACCCATGTCAGCTGGCTGGAACATATACCGCCAACTCATCGTCAACATACGCATATGTAGCCAGCGATTTTAATATTTCTTACGTTGATGGATCCGGAGCATCGGGAGATTATGTCACTGATACATTTACGATCGGATCAACGACGTTGAACAAATTACAATTTGGTATTGGATACACCAGTTCTTCGTCTGAAGGTATTCTAGGAATCGGTTATGAGATTAACGAGGTTCAGGTGGGGAGAGCGGGAAAAAAGGCTTATAATAACTTACCAGCACAAATGGTTGCTGATGGTTTGATCAATTCAAATGCTTACTCCTTATGGCTTAACGATTTGGATGCCAGCACTGGAAGTATTTTATTCGGTGGTGTCGATACTGCTCAATATCACGGGCAACTGGAAACTCTCCCGGTCGAAAAAGAATCCGGATACTACGCCGAATTTCTCATCACCTTAACCGAAATCATGTTAGGCGATACCGTCATCGCCAAAGACCAAGCTCTCGCCGTCCTCCTCGATTCCGGCAGTTCCCTCACCTATCTCCCCGACGCCATGGCCGAAGCCATCTACGAACGAGTTGGCGCGCAATACGATGCTAGCAAAGGCGCCGCCTACGTCCCCTGTTCCCTCGCTTCCAACACCAGCGCTCTAAATTTTACCTTCACGTCCCCTACCATCCAAGTTACCATGGACGAACTGGTCATCCCCGTCACCAGCGCCACAGGTGAACAATTACAATTCACCGACGGCACCGCAGCCTGTCTCTTCGGTATCGCTCCCGCTGGCGACAGCACTTCGGTTTTGGGAGATACCTTTATCCGCTCCGCATACATCGTCTACGATCTCGACAATAATGAAATTTCTCTCGCTCAAACAAATTTCAACGCAACCAGCACAAGCGTGGTTGAAATCACCACGGGCACCACGGCAGTTCCAGATGCAAGATTGGTTGCAAACGCAGCAACAGCTAGTTCGGGTTCGACTGGTGGCAAGATCAGCGGATCGGTCACTTTGAGCTCGGGTTCAAAGTCGAAAAATGCAGGTGCCATGCAGACGCCGCCGCCGTTGGCATATGGTATGGCTGCATTGGGCGCCGGATTGTATTATGCCATGTAAACAGCTCTTTATTTGACATCGTGGGATGTCATGAGATGAGAAGAGATGAAATGACGAAATTTATCCGGAAAAACATTTATTACTTTTTATTATATTATTTGCAGCGGAATGCATTGCGTGAGATGGGATGGCATGGTATGGCATTGCATTCTCGAGTTTTATACACACAAGAGTTGCATTAAAAGGCGTTTCTCTTTTTCAATCTCTCTTTTCATATATATTTTTTTTATATATTTCTATGAGATGAGAGTATTTATTCTTCTTTTGATGATAAGGAATTTCTATTTTTCTCTATAACTTTTTTGAGATATGGATGGATGATTGGGTTGCATGGGTTGCTTGCTTGCATAGCATCGGAGTCCTTTTATTCATGAATGATTTGGATGGGATGGGAGCTTCTGGAAGGGTTGGAGAATGTAAAGTGAATGTGAGAGGAGATGAGATATATAGGAAGGGATGCGATGAGATGAGATATTCTCTGATAGAAAGAGAAAAGATATACACACATATATATATATATAACTTATACACAAGAATAGAGAGATAATAAGAATCAGTACAAGACAAAGATTGATTCAAAGACTACATCCATCCGTCTATTCATCTATCTTCAACATACCATTACCAGAATGTGAACATACAAACGAATCCTGAAAATATCAAGATGCGATGATATTGAATACCTACCTACCTACGGACGGACTAGGATGAAGTCTTCGCGGGTATGCATGATATATCCTAGTACATTGTACAAGCCTCCAAATGTGAAATACTACCTAGAAAGGGGATAGGTAAGAATGGTTGTATATTCGTTAGATACTTAGATACTTGGATTTCCTCAGAATCAAAGAAAGATTGTCTGTCTACCGCATCTATCTAATCCAGCATCTCTAGCTCATCATCTCCATCTTCATCAATAGATAAGTATATCTAGTACTACAGTATAACGTAGTATTCCTAAAACACACAGCCCAGATACAGAAACATAAACCTACAGATATGAAGTAATTTCGAACTTCAAAGGAGATATCTCTCTCAATCTATCTCCCTTCCTCTATATCCCAATATCAATATCAACATCAATACTACCTGCGATTTGGAAAAGAGGAAATGAGAGATAATTGAATATCTATCTATATATTTATCCCATGGGTACCTATACACAATCATGCTCTCTATCACTATGATTTAATATTTCATTTTCTCCCCTCCTGACTTATCTATTCATCTTACTTGCCCTTCGCTTCATCAAGATCAGCCATCTGTTTCTTGTATGAACAACTCAATTGATGTCCCATTCCCTATTTTTTCTAATTATAAAATAAATGATATGAATACCTACTCCATCACGAGTACATAGTTATCAAATCAGATATTATTGTTTCAAATCACAAATCGAGTCAATATGTCGATGAATTATTTAAACATAAATAAGCCATTCAGCCCCAGCGTACCTAAACACAAATTGACCTCATGATTTTTCCATCCTGCTGGATGGACCAATGATGCAATCCACTCCGCCACTCCGCCACTCCACTCCACTCCACCCCCACTAAAACCAATAAAAATAAAAATTCATATCAACCCCCCCACCAAATCCCTCACACTATTTCCTACCCCTCCATTTATCTTCCATTTATTCCTTTCCACCCTCTCCTCCATCCCCATCCCTATCCCATCCATCCCAATCCAAAAAAAGTCCGAAAAATACAAGCTGATTTAGGGAATTGAGCCCAACGCGGGGGTCGAACCCGCAACCTTGTGATTGACTTTGTACATCTTCCAATGATAAGAGTCACACGCTCTACCGATTGAGCTAGCCGGGCTGACTCGATCGCCAAGTTACTGTTAACTGAGACCCTTTGGTTCTACTATAAACATCATCAATCGTGAATCCTTTTTCCAAATTATCTACATCGCAATTTGGTATTTCGAATCTTTCGCAATTCAGTACGCAATTCAGTACTTGAGTACTTGAAAGTTGTTTTTATCGAACATCGAGATATTGTATTTAAGTAAATTCAATAGATCATTTCAAATTCGTTATTTCTGAATACCAATTTGCGTTTTCATTGTTTCTGGCGGATAGAAGCCGGAAATGAAAAAAATCGAACCAAAAACCGAAAACCAAAAATGAAGCTATTCACACAATCCACCTACTGACTTGTTTAGGAAAGCGGTAAAGTAACAACCATGCAAATACTAAATGATCTTCCGTAGTAATCCTTCTCTTCGTCTTCGTTTTGCTCTTGCTCTCTCATTCTTTTTCTTTTCTGTTTTCATTTTATCTTTCTACCTACTCTTTGCATTATTAGCTCGTGGTATACTAGTTGTATTCATAGCTATTCTTCTCGATGTCTTTTGATCCAAAAGCATACCTTCAGGCCCGGCTAGGCAAAAATGAAGAAAATAGAAAGGAATCATTCTACGGGAAAAGCTATACAGAGCCCACTAGAAAAGCATATGCCTTCGCGTTAAAACAATGGAAAAGGTACAAGATATTTACTATTATATAAGACACCCACTGATCTCCAAAATAGTTTCGGAGAAGCACTCGGATCAGATCCTAAGCCTGATCTGGAGACGATTCAGACGTTCTTGATGTGGTATGGGCAGACAGCCAAGGGGTCAATCAACGATAGGATTGCGATATCAACTTTCTACGAAATGCTCAAAAACTTAGGAACTGTATACAAGGCGGTGTATAAATACAAAATTCCACGCGATATCATTGACGATATCAAGTTTGTAAGTTAATGTTGATGTGAAGTCTCAGAGCTGTTGTTTCTCTGACCTTGCATAGTATATCGAAACGGACTTGAAAGACGAACTTCAACTTCAGGATAAGGAACGGGAAAAGGCGATTGCGGATTGGGCTGATATTGAAAACGCTGTGGAATATCTTATACTACGTGATAGCCACGAATATTATAATAATCGATATCGAATACAACTTGAATGCATCTTCTTGTTGATTGCAGACGCTGGGGAGCGGATCGGTGTGATTGTTCGAAGTACAAGTTACAGTGCGAAGAATTTCGGTACGGCTTTGTTATACAGAGTATGTAGAAGGGAATTATCTGAGTAGCTTTGAACTTTATCGACGATATAAAAGCTAATTACCTGGTGCTAGGATCTCAAGTTGTTTCGGCTACCATCCACAGAACCTGATGGCAGGCCACGATTCAAGCTAGAGATCACTTATAATAATAGAAAAGGCGAACGAGGGAATGAGAAGCAATTGTAAGTAATTTTCAATGAGAATTCGCGTTATCTACGAGTTTTGTTCTAACAAAAAGAAGTATTGAGCAGACCTACTTCACAAGAGATATCCCTGGTAGCTGTGTTGTTTGCTGGATTATGGTCTTGTTGTTTTTGGATGATGTATTCGAACATTGTTCATGGCCTTCCGATCTATTTCGAAACATAGACACGAGTGTGGAGATTCCCATAACCCTCAAACGAAGCAAGCTGGATATACCTGTATTTCGATCAACGGAGCGATCCAAGGACATCTCTCCAACTCGTGTGGTTTCAAGTGACACGATAACTGCGGATGGCAGACGAGTAGTCGCTGCAGCAGGGTTTCGACAATGATTTACATTTTATTGTCTTCGTCGAGGGATGACCAACGCTTTGCACGATGGTAAGCTTTACAAAGGCTGATATGTTAGAGTTATTAATGTTGATTGACTATAGAAAAGGCCGACCCTACCCGTATAAAGCAACTCGTTGGACAATCAAATGGAGTTTTTGTCAAGTGGTACCAATCCCGGAAAACAAATATTGATTCGGGTAATCGGGAAATATATATCGACAACAACCCTCTCGCATTGAACGAACCCAACTCTTACATATGCGCTCTCAAAGAGATCCTTCGGCACCTACAACCCTCTCCGAAGAACAAAAACAACTGTTCTGTAATCAGGATATAAAGTTACAAGAATCGCTTGTAACTAGAAATTCTTTATGGAAGAAACGTTATAAATTGCGGATATTGAAGAAGAGTAGCGATGAATTACAGAGAGATATCAACGCGACGGCAAATCATATACCGTAATGGTCTAAAAACGATTAGACTCTCATTTTGAGAAGATGGATACAGTCCTGGCTGAAGGAATTGAACCTGGTTCAGGGCTGGAGAAATCACAAGAGCAGCCAATCATTAGACCTGACCTTGCTTCATTGTTATACCCCAAAGACTTAAGAGTATCATCTACTCTAGCAGCACTCCAAGGGTTGATTACACATGCTACTAATACATGTAGTATCACGAAAAACGAAAAAGCACTGGTATTTAAAAACAACATTTTACCTAGGAAAGCTGTCTCGGAGTCTCCTTGAAAGCGAAGAAGACTTGAAGGTCTAAACTCCGAAGTTGAAGAACGCCAATGTACTGCAAGCGAAGAACACCCGGCGGAGATTTTAGCAATATGGGATGATAGATTGCAAGATTACGTTTCTACATAATATTCTATATTGAAACAGAAAGGTGTAAAGTCGCGCTGGAGTACGCTGTTATGAACGATAAGCTAGGATCGGGGACTATATAGGCTCAGCAATTACTTAGTCACAGTAGAACCCCACCTAGATAGTCACATGATTAGCATCATGTGATTGGATAGACAAGATAGACCGTCTATCCAATGAACGAAGGTCTATATAGTTAGATAGTTTCCTTAGTATATAGAGCTTCGTGCTCAACTTCAATTACTACTTGTTTACCTACCATTACCTACAATCGATCGATTCACTGTGTGACTGTTTTCAACAATAAACCTACGATAATACTACCCAGTCCCGTGACTAGCTAGTATTCGAGATCCTGACCTCTTCCACGTGACTCAGAAGACAAGTATTCGTAACACACGCCTGAGCAATAGGAATTCTGATTCATCTCTTTATCTATTCCATTTCTACGGAATATAATGTATATCGTTAAAATTGTCAAAATATCATCGATAGACCTATATAGTACACAAAATATATCCCAAATAGCAAAAGCTTATCCAAAAGGAGAAAAAAGTTCCAAAAACAAAGCCTTTCCTTTACCGTCTTCACTAACGGCTGTCAAAATTACAACCATGAGCATTCTTCAAATGCTCAACCATTTCGCCTTTGTGATGGAACGGGGAAGTGTGTGGGCAGGGCTGCAGAGGACAGAAAATTTTCGGCCCGAAATGGGTAGTCAAGCGACTCTCAAAATTTCGTAGTCCACTCACGGGAGCTATATAGTACTTGTAGGTAGGAATGAAGCACTGGAGGCTCTTTCGAGGAGATTCTGCGGGCCTGATTACTGACGAGCAGTAGGCGGAATTATGTGAAGAGCCAATTATAGTCGGAATTTTATTCGCTGATGTTGTGGAAGACATGATATTTGCGCTTTCGTTACTACCACATCCAGACCGCCGGATTAGTAGTTGGTGACTATCGCATTCGGCAAACTCTTTTTCGAACAGAAGCATTGTAGGCCGCAATGCTGGAGGATATTGAAGCTCACGCCCTTCGGCAATGTGGTTTTGAGCCAGTGGCTCGGGGTCGTATTCGTCGACATTTGAAATAAGACTTCGAAGAAGGAAAGGCAAGCAAGAATAGAGCGCAACAGCTTCACCATTCCAATGTTCTATGAACTTGGATTGTAGGACATCATGCGACCATGACGGTATGCTGTGAAAATACAAAGTCTCCACCTGAGTCAATCTCAGCACCAAGCTATACAGGCTTATTAGTACATTGCAGCAGAACAATCAAGTAGGTAATGTAACTTACAAAGCTTGGTCCAGATGGGGCCAAATGTGTTTAGAAGTCCTTGGTATCTTCAACTCTTTCTTTAAGATATGCTCATTCCAGAATCGTTGTGTTAGCGAGGAGTCTTGAAAAAGAACACTGTCAGGTGCGGAACTCAGGTCGCACATTTCTATCGTTAGGCAAAGAGGTAGACCCTGACTAGCTCTATCAGTCCATGCAACAAGACAACATAGGGATGTGGTAGATTGAGGCTCTAGGAAATGATCCCAGTTTGGTTCACGCTTGTCGGCGGTTTCGTTGTAGTAATACTCAACTTCTGGATGATATGGATCTCCGTCTTGCTGACTAGTAGCAGAGACTGCGAGAGAGAACAAACTGCGAATACGAAAGTCGATAGGTTCGAGGTTATCTTCCGGACTTAGAATCCAGCAAGTGAGAGGGTGCCGATATTTCGCTGCCTATAAATAATCAGTGATTTGATATTTTCTAATGTTCTTGGACTTCACCTTTTGCATTTTGGCAAATTTAACAGCTGCGGTAGTCTCATTTATGAGAAAAGTTCGCCGGATTCGACACCGTATTATAGTGCCCATAAAGGCATCTGTTGCAACTGTATGAACACCTTGCAGCAGTAGACACCAATCACGATATGTGACCTCGAAAAAAGCCCTACATACGACAGCATCAAGTTCTTCGACTATCATTGTTGCCCAGTGCGTATTTTTCTCATCCCGATCTTCGTATTGGTGGATATAAAAGGTGAAGCAGTTGAACCATGCAAGATCCCGGATGTCTTCTTGAGGGGGGTTTGAAACTTCCATCATACCAAAATCCGTTGTGCATAGAAGACAAGTAAAGAAATTGAGTGTAGCACTCTAAGTAGAAAGATTTATTCTCAGCTTTATATAGAATTCCGGACTAGATATTGATCCCTGGAACTTGCATTCCCTTGAGGCACTCAGGGGTTAAGAGTTCTAGTGACCGGAAGACTGAAGTGGGTTCTTTAGGTGCATCTGAAACACCGCCTCATCCATCGCAGCATGATTGGAATCGAGTAGCGTAAGCAACCCAAGTTCTGATCAAGAGAAGCGGCAAGGCAGTTTTTACTAGCTTCTTCACCGGATCTGACAACTAAGGATACGTGTACAGTATTTGTATACAGAGTACTATGAAATCACATATAGATAGATATGAGGGCAAGCAAGCTATGGTTGGTAATTTACAAAGGGTCTTCAATCATCATGTGCCATCGAGAGCAGATCTTACACGCCCACGTAAAACCTCTCGAATTGCAGAGTAATTGTAGCCATTTTCCCACTAGTCTGTCGAATGAATCACTCCGACATCCGAAGATATATATGTATACCTGTGCCGAAGCTTTTCCATACGCTGATGTAACGATGAAGGGTATGTGAGTGGTAAGTGCCCGAAGGAAGTCGATTGACCATATTGAGAAGGCATTCTCTCGTCGATAATCGACCGGAACTTTTGCAAGCAACTGTCTGTAGACGCCGCTACAGGATCCCCAGTCCAATATTCAAGGAAAGTGGCTTGTAGTGTAAGCTGAGACCCTGCCATGAGTTATTCGAAACACGGCCATTCCCAGGCTGACAACCTGAGTGACAACCTTCGCGAACACGTCGTGAGGTAAATTGGGGGTTTGAAGCAACAGATGAACTCACAAAGCTCTATCTTGTCTAAGACCTTGATGTACGTAAGTCCAGGGTAAACTCAGGCTGTTTTTACAGACAAAAAAGTTCCAGAATCCTGCAATATCGGGATCCCTTGAGATTTCAGCAGGTGTGAAGGGTTCTGCTAAGTAGCACATCTTCATATGCATATATGTTGGGCAAGGTCCTTGGAGGCCGTCGATTAAAGCAACGAGGCAGCATGAAGATGAGGGAGCTTGGGCAGCTAGAAAGGCTCCCCAGTTGATTTTGTCCATCGCAGAAGAGTTATTGTAGTGGCGACGGTAGTGCAGATGATAGAAATCCGGGTATGGCTGCCCCCGTACCTCATATGCTGGTAGGAAAAGTTTAGAGACAGTATGATACAGGCTGGAATCGTTGGAAAACCCCATAATCCAGGAACAGACTGGATGTAGATCTTTTACTTCCTTCCTAATAGTCAGCAGTTGGGCAATATATTGAAAGTAATAATTATACCTCCAGAATGAATATATTTTTCATTAATATAATAATAAGTTTTTAAAAAAGCCTTTATTATTAATTCTTAATATATTGATTTCTAATACTTTTTCTAAATTTCTAATAATTTTTAATTTATTTTTTATTTTTAATAACTTTATAAAAAATAAAATAAAATAAGCTTTAATTATAAAAAAGAACTTTATTTATTTATTTACTTTAAAAAACCTTAATATTATATTATTTTTAAAGTATTATATTAAATATTAATATATAATTGATTTTAAATATTTATTAGTGGAATACTTATATATATTTATATAATAAATTAGAAATAATATATTAATATTAGTGTATTAGAATATCTAGATATATATAAATAGCTTTTATATAATATAATAAGAACTTCATCTTTCTTTTATACTATATATATTAAAGAATATATTTTAATATATATATAAATTAGAAATATATATTAGTATTTATATAAATTTCGATTTTAATGAAAACTAATTTACTAACTAATTAAATATTATTTGATTTAAAAATTTAATATTTTCTATAAATAAATTAAAATTATTTTATATATTTATAAATATTTTTAGAATTTATAATTTAAAGTATATTAAATAATATATTTTTAAAATAAATATTATATTATAAAATAAACTTTTTTTTTCTCTAAAAATAAATATATAATAATCTTTTATTATATTCTTGAATATAATATAATTTCATATTATCTTTTAGAATATTAAATTAATATTAATCTTATTTATATTATTCTTTTAATAAAAACTTTTTATAAAGTTTAAATAATAAATATATATTTCTAAAATATTTTATAAATATATTATAATTATTAATTTAAAAGCTTCTTTTATTTCTTTATTATTAAATAATAGAATAAAATCATATATAATTATTTTATTTTTAAATATAAAATTATTATAGTTAATTTTGAACTTTTAATTAAATCTTTTAATATTAAAGTATTTATTAATAATTCTAATTTCAATTTGAATATTGAATTTAAAAAAAGATTATTTAATATTATAAAAATTATATTATTTATTATATTATTTATTATATTATTTATTATATTATTTATTATATTATTTATTATATTATTTATTATATTATTTATTATATTATTTATTATATTATTTATTATATTATTTATGAATTGATTCTTTATATTAAGTTAATAAAATTTAAGATTGAATTATCATAATTATATAAATGAAATTATATAAAATGAATAAGAAAAAATTAAAGAAAGTTTAATATTTATAAAGAATTAATATATTAGTATTTATAAAGTTTAAAAGGAAGAAAGAGTATTGAATTATAAAAGTAATATAGTAACAAGTGATATTGATTTCTATTTACACACTCCTAAATACTAAATATACTTTTTCATTAGGCAGAAATCTATTTTTAGGGTTTTAATTAAATCGATCAAATCGGCCTCGATATAAACCGATAATAATTATACTTAATTATTAAAGGCTCTTAGAAACCAAGTATAATATATCTACTAGTAGTTATTAGTTTATTATTAATATAAAGATTCATTCTATCTTCGCTAGACTTTAAACCGAAACGTTTATCTATTCTTATACAACTTTATTAATTAAGAACAACAAACTACGATTTATTAATACCTAATATAAAAAGTTATAGAACAATTATATATATATTATTAGAGTTTAATATAATGAACTATATAGATAGATAAGAATTGATATAAAGACTATAAATTGAAAAGACTTTCTGTTAGTTTTTTAATATTAATAAATAGTATTTTGAATCATAATATCTTATTGTTACGATGGGTAGCAGAATGCCATGTGACCAATGTCACGTGGTGGAGTTCTCAGGAGCCAGGACTCCAAGAAACTTCAAATCAATATCAGAGAATGAAGATCTATATAAGGAATGGGATTTCATTATAATGTAGAGCTTTGTGCTCAAGAACAATCATTAGTTTTATTACTATAATTACGAGAATTGCAACAATTACAACCTTATTGAATTCCTACTTGAAGTCTAATCTAAACTATCTCGAGAGATCTCTAGACACTTCCACATAACCCTAGAGGCAGCTCCCGTAACACTTATATACACTCAATAGTAATCTCAAAATATAAAATAAAAAAGTAATATTTTCCTTACAACTCTTAGAAAAGCAGCAATCTCAAAACGTAAAACAGGAAAGCAATACTTTCCTCATACACTCTTCGATTGAGCTAGCCGGGCGGGCTATGCTTGATGATTTGATGTTATTACAGGTGAAGTTTGGATATATTTTATTTTTTTATTTTTTGGGAGATTGGTGTTACGACGGCATCCAACATACCGCGTCACATGACATAAATTACACGTGATGGAGCGTCAAGGAGCTTCAGCGCTCCTGGAGCGCGTTGCGATCCTTAACGATCCAACATATCGAAGAGGTCCTAGGGACTAGGATAGAGAATGAAGGTTTATATAAGGGAATAGGTTTCATTACAATATAGAGCTTCGTGCTCAAGAACAATCATTAATTTCATTACTATAATTACAAGAATTACAACCAGTTATAACCTTATTGAATTCCTACTTGAAGTTTAGACTAAACCATCTCGAGAGAACTCTAGACACTTCCACGTGATCCTAGAGGCAGCTCCCGTAACAATTGGGAGATTGGGAGATTGGGAGATTGGGAGATTGGGAGATTGGGAAATGGGGAAATGGAGAAATGGGAGGATTATGGATATTGAGGAGGGAGCAATGAGCTGTGGTAAAGAAATAATTGTGGAAAATTCAAGTATGAGATACATAGATAGAGTAGATAAAGGTAAGTTGAATATCAACAAGGAAATGCAGAATCAACCGCATCATTGAACCATCCAGTAAACGTCAGCCCAGCCAGCTCAATCGGTAGAGCAGAGCGTGTGACTTTTATTTCTTAACAAAAGATTAACACGGGGATGGGAGATGAGTCTCACATTTTGTTCGTGGCTATTGTGTCTATAGTCTTTAGACAATATTAATGTGAGTTGGGCGGAATTTATGAAGTGTCTTCGCTTCAGAGGAAGGAAGAAGCAATTGACTATGGAATGGATATATGTGATTGTGAGTAGATGGGTTATTTCCTGAAGTATCGAAATGAGAAGTTAAGGAAAGGATTACTGGAGATGTATGATAAAAATCCACGCTGGAGCGAATTAATTATCCTATTGGATTTTAAATCAAGTGAGACCCAATATGAATACACAACCTCTCCCTAAATGCGAACTACAGATTTCGCATTATCTTAATTTCTACTCGGGTATCTACATTCATAAATAAAAATCCTTTCCCAGCGCCTTTCCTTCTCCTCTCTAGATTTCTTTCCCCAACATCTTAAAATCACGCCCCCAAATCGTAATAAATACACATCCCCGTTCTAAAGTTATAAACAAAAGCATTCCTCGTATTATCTTTATTCTGGAATGCTAGACCACTCATTAAATCATGAATTTCACCTATATAGCGACGTTCGGCTGTGGGAACTGAATGGGTAAGTTTGCGCCAGGACTCCGGATCCGAAAGCTTGGTGTCGCGGATTAGATCCATCACCTAGAGAAGTGGGTGTTAGTTCAAAAGTCAGGATAAGATGTGAATCACGAGATAAACGGGTGGAAGAG